AAATAATTTATTATATCTAATAATCTGATTGAATTTAATTTAAAAAAAGTGGAAACCCTTTTTAAGCTCAAATGTTTTAATGTTTAAACAGCAGTTTTATAACTGTTTCATTTAACTTGTTTACAATTCAATAAAATTTGAATTCTTTAACAGGTGGCAAACCTCCTAAATGTAGTTTAGAAATTAAACATTTTCAAAAACATTTCGATTGATACCATAACATAATAATTCATATCTTTACTAATAGTGAGTTTGTTTGCTTGTTACGCTTTCGCGCTTTAACTGCTTAATCGATTTACATAAAATTGTGAACACTAGAGTCATTAAGCCCAACTTAGAACATAGGATAGCTTTTATCTCGATTAGACAAGGGGGCGTGGCACCGTAAAAACGGAAATTTTTCATACTGAATATCTTAGGAAAAATATATTTGTAGCAGATCACTGGAATTTAGTATAAAAATGTCACCTGTTTAAAAAATCAAATTCAACTTGAATAAAAAGTATTATTTATTTGAAATTTGTATTATAATATGGGAAACAGACGAAAAAAAATGAAGAGGATTGTCACCTGTTTGAAAAGTCGAATTTAATGTAATTATACACAAGTTAAAGTGTCAAACGCAATAGCGTAGAATTTTGCGAGATATTTGAAGAGGGTTGCCAACTGTTTTAAACCAAAATAGAATAAAATAATTTAATAATTTAAGTGAATTATTACAATAGGGGTATAAATCGAAATGGGCTTGAAAAGGCGTTATTTCTAAGCTACATGTAGTAGGGTTGCCGCCTGTTTGAAAAATCAAACTCAACTTGAATTATGGGGAATAAGGTTATTCAAATACATATGTACATATGCATCGCAAAATGGGTGTCAGACGAAAGAGCTTTAAGAAGGTTATCTCCTGTTCCATAAGTTAAATTCAAAATATTCATTGAAATTATTATAATATTGTTATCGATCTAAGTGGTTTTGAACCACCTGTTTAAAGTTAAGTTAATTATAAATGTATTAAAAGAAAGATGTTAAAGAAAGTCTTAGTTTGACCTCCAACATATAATGTAGAAACGAAGCCTTTTCAAAACTACTTCCATTGATACCCATATTACAGTAATTCATTTAACTTAACTGAATGTAATCTTTTAACAGGTGGCAACTTTCTTCTTGTTTTAACCTAGATATAAACCACAATTGGAGCACGGCAACATATTGTCCATCCATATCAAACTTTAAGCAACTTCAATTTTCAAACAGGTTCTTAAAATATTTTACAAAGTGAGCTATCAATCTGAAATATCTTTCCTTTGACACCCCTATTGCAATATTTATATTCTGTAATCAAGCTAATGGAATTTGATTGTTTCAAACGGGTGGCAGTCCTCTTCAAATAATTTTTCTTTTACATGAGCTCTTATAAACCATTTACCATTTGACAACCATAAATATTGAGATATTTGATCAATCCCGTTAATTTAATTTAATTTAACTTTTAAAACAGGTGGCAACTCTATTTAAACCTACATAGCTATGCACCTTTTCCTCATCGAAACGAACCTGTTGTATGCGCTTTCTACAAGCAACTTCTCTTTTTTTATATACATAGATTAATAAACATTAAACAAACAAAAGAAAAATAGTCAAAACTGGTCAAAATATTTCACTTCTATTATTTTGTGGACAACTTTATGTAACTAGTATAATAAAGATATTTGCTAGATAAATAATTTTGTTTATTAGTTCGAAAATATAATAACACATAACAAAAAATAGCGTGCGATTGTGTACCTGATAAGTTTGTTCGGAGCCATGGGAGATACATCATTTTGACCACTGAACGCAGAGAGAATAGAAATTTTGTAAATATGCAAAAAATTTAAGAAAATGAATACATATAAAATACGCGCAGAAATGGTTTGTGAGTTTTATACATAAACAAGCAAAAAATATAAATATTAATTATATAATATATGGATAACTACAATCCTTGTTGCTCAAAAAATAATTAAATATATATTTATATTTACATACGTAAATATTTAGCTACCGGAAAGGTTTAGTAATAATCAAACATATATCTACGGGGAAATCTGAAATTTGTACGATCTGGAATTGCCAATTATTATTTTTTTTAATACATGCCACTTGTAATGAATACACCGAATATTTTACATGTACACATTAATGAAATATCAGTATGGCATATGAAGAGATTTAATACCAAATCTTGAGATTTTTTAAATAATTACTCGAAAATAAATAATTTTAAATCATACGAACTTCCAAATATGTCTAATAATTAAAAATTAAAGGAATATATTTATGTATTGGGTTTATGTATATGGAAATTTGAGCCAACCACAACAAGACCACATAAACTTACACACTATTTATGCAAACTTATATGCAAGTGATGATAGTAATGTGTACAAAAAATACAGTATATAAGGGTATCCATTTAAAATAAGGTAACTTTTAAACCCAAATTACTGAGGTATTCAAACTAAAACTATTTACAAACATAAAACGCAATTGCGGGCACATAACATACTTGCGTATAACTGGTGGACTCTCTTCCACCATGCCATTTGTTTCGTTGGCCAAACGCAAAGCAAGCTCATGGTCACGACGCTCTTGTTCCAACTGCTGTCTATACTTGGCATCGTCTTGTGCTTCCTTCTCAAGTTGTGCCTGTAACGCTAACGCCGCCTTACGATCCTCCTCCTCTTGCTTTAGACGTTGCACCTCTTCCACTTTTCGGCGTGATTCCATTTCGGCTTTGCTGTAAATAATTGGAGATGACATTAGAAAAGCTATTCAGGAATATTCATGGTCATTCAACTCAAATGAAAGGTTGCAAAGAAAGAATAATGACTTGTTTTGTATTGCAATGTTTTTGATGCTTACAGTCGTTTGTTATCTTCTTCTTCAAGTTTCTTTCGCTCTTCCTCTTCCTTAGCGCGTCGTTCAGCCTCGAGCGCTTCTTGTATTTTACGCAGACGTTCTTGTTCCTCAGCTTGCTTTTGTTCCTGTGTGAAAGGAAAATATTAAAGTTTGTACGTTGGAGAAATTTTGTAGATACTCAAAACAAACAAAAAAGAAAATATAGTATGTATAAAGCAAAAACGGATTAGTTATATATCGTCGTTTAAAGTACAAAACCGCGTATCGTCATTCTGTAAAACCGCGTAACTTGATACGCGGTTTTGTATTTTGTTGATACGCGGTTTTGTACTTTAAACGACGACATGCATAAAACGGAATGCACTTCGTTTTAGAGCGCATTTGTTTTTTCTTTTTAATGTTTATTTCTTTTTATTAGTAATTAAATATACATTTCACTCACCTTCAACTTTGTGTTCAAATCCACGGTCAGCTTATTCATGTTGGCCATGACGCTAGTATAGAGTCCGTCGATTTGGCGAGAAGTGATTTTCTCATTTGTCTGTCAATTAAATAAAAAAAAAAAATAAAAATTTATGTTGTCTATTCTCATTACATATAATAATGAACTACGATCACACCTTTATTGTTTGTATGGCTTCGTTCACTTGACGATGTATACCATTTACTTCGCTGATAAACTCATCGCGACCCTTCTTCAGCCCACCAGCGATTTCAATGGTCTTTTGTGCATTCAAACGCACTTTGTTTATCTTTGCAATGCCTTGGTAACGTGGGCGATGTTGTTTTCGCGCCAAATAACCACGCACAGTGCGTTGTATGAGTAAAACACAATTGTTTCGATACTTGATGCGATTGCGTACTGGGAAAGTATGAAGAAATAATAATTAAAGTCAACCATTACATAATGTTTATCTCTATATGAACACAAATCAAAATACTTCACAACTAAACTCACATTTGATCACACACACCGCACCCAAAATAGATTTCACCCACCGCGAACGTATTAACCACTTTTTCACCTTAGAGACAATGGCTAAAAGATTCTCGGGATCTGATTTCATAATACGATCGAATTCAACGAACTTGCCAGGGCGGAAGAAAACTTTCTTCACGCCAAACTTGAAATCCTTTGAGCTAAGATTAAGCGATTGTAACATAGCTTCGCAGAAAGTGCGCGGTGGTAATTTGACCAATTCGGGTGGCAGGACCGATTTATACATATTGTAGAGATCGGCGAATGGCACACGTGATGGATAACCATGCTCCATAAGCTCCAGCACGGAAATAGTGCCAGAGCATTTAAGTTGTGCAAGTGCTAGCCCACCCTCGAAATCACGATCTATCATTTTGCTGTTAGGCTTAATGCAGCGTATAAAATTAGTGCCCTAAAAATTTAATCATTATACATTCGTTTTACTATTTATTATACATTAACACAGTGCTTACATTCTTCTCCAATTTCTCCATCAACTCAGCCAGTTGGCTTTTGAATTTCGAGCCCACAGAAATGAAATTCAATTTGCCGCGCAACGCGGTGTTACTACCGGAAGGAAATAGTGTTTTCAGCAACGGATTTTCACACTCCTGCACCAAACCCTCCAAGGAAGCATGCAATGCATCATTGTTTTTCTCTATAAATTGTTCCTGAAAAGAATCAACAAAATGGTAAATACAATTAAATACATGTTATCCCACGCCTTAACAAACATGCCACACCTACCGTATTGTAACAGACAGCGCCGGCAAAGTGACGCACAAGAAAACCATCCTCATCTCTTAGCGTGCGATGAGCCTTCAAGCGCGATGAACGCGGCAAGCCCAAGCGGAAATGGTTTGACCACGCCTTGTGCACTTCGGCCGTGAAGTGTTGTGCCGATGGCTTTGGCAACTTCGACTCCTCATCCAATAGAGTATAAATACCGTTTGCCTTCGCTTCAATTAAATCGATAATATCCTGATTATCGGTGAATGTGATTTCCGGCACATTCAATCCCTCACTTTTGTACAGCTCTTGCTCGTTCTTAAGAATGTTGTCATTGAAGAATTTTTGCAATTTCTCATTGCAGTAATTAATGCAAAATTGCTCAAACGAATTCACAGTGAAGTACTCGAAACCGGCAATATCCAAGACGCCAATATAGAAATTTGAGACTTGGAAGGGGATGCTTTGATTAATCAGCGCCACAATACGATCAAAAAGGCGGCTGTAGATGGCCTTGGCAAGCGCATCGCGCGCATTGCTGGCCTCATAAATTTTCAAGGGCACCCTGAAATAGCAATAGTTAATTCACACAACAGGTGTGTAGGTATTGACTTACATTATTACTGTGCCCTTGAAACCGCCACCTTTGCTTTGCATTACACGCGACACCAGTGCCTGTCTGAGTTCCGATGGATCAACACCCAGCAATTTCGATGTGATGGTGAGAGATTTTTCAGAAGACTCTGACACTTGACAACCACCTCGTGCGTCATCTGGTATCTCTTCAAACGAAATATTACCCAAATGTAATACGGCAGCCACCAATGAATAAATTTCCAGTTTATTTATTTCACTCAAACCCAATCGACCCAGTGCACGATCGAGATTTTGAAAATGATTATAATCATCGATAATGGGATCCTTCAGGGGACCCTTTTTCACATGACTCTTGGACTTTTGAGCAGCCGGAATAAGTTGCTCTGTCTTCGCGTTGGCAAAATACTGCGTACAGCCAGAGAGATACTGGGGAGAAGGAAAGAAAAAAAATATATACATTAGTTACAGATTATTGAACAGGCAAAAAAAGTTTGTAAAGGGCAAAGAATTTTTTTTATTTGTTTTAACAACAGAATAACTTTCTAAAGTTATTTGTAAAGACGTGTGTATGTATGTATGTATGAAGGATACTTGAAAGGTTGTCTTAGTCAAGAAATGTCAGATTCGACTAGTTTCAGACAAATGAATAATCATCAAAGATGTAGATTTTGTCGTCGGGAGCACCGTCTCAACGTTGTCGGCAGATATTTATATCAAATCCATGTTTAAATAGGTTGATGCTATGGAACCTTAGTAGGAAAAGGAAAGCATCACCACCTCATTGCTGCCAATGAATGGTTAATAGTATTTAATGGTTCTAGTTATTCGGAAAATAGTGTCAATAATATAGCTTGAATAAAATAGGGCACAACAGCTTTGTCAGAAACGAAACTAACTATAGTAATTCAGCATTAAGTTATCTAATGTGTTCCGAAGTTCATAGTTCGTATGCTCTTTACTCACCCGATAATCATCTGGTTTACCAAGATTCAGCTTATCACGCAGCTGTTGTGGTGCACCTGCTAGCAACATAAAGAATACATGATAGTTGCGCTCCTCAGAACTTTGCGTACAAATACGACTCTTCTCCAGCAGATAGTGTGATATGTAACCGCCAACCACTTGGCACTTGGCATCATAGTGCACTTCAATGAATTTGCCGAAACGGGAGGAATTGTTGTTACGCGTAGTTTTTGCATTACCAAAAGCCTCAAGCACGGGATTGGCTATAATAAACAGATAAAATAGATAGTAAATATCAAACGTTGGTTACATACAATGACTCTTATTGAATTTTAAATTTCACTTACCATCTAAAATTTTCTGTTCAATGGGACCGGCACTATCGCTGGAATGACATAAATATTTAAGCAAATACTTGGTAGATTCTGTTTTGCCAGCACCCGATTCGCCAGATACGATAATAGATTGTGACGATTTGAGTACGCGCATATCACGTATAGCCTTATCAGCTGCAAAAATTACAAGAGAATGCGCAAATATAAATATGAGCTTTGGTACAGCAGGGGATTTCTTGTTATTGTACAACACTTTTTATTTTACCTATAGCAAACACATGTGGCGGCAGTTCGCCCAAGGAACGTCCAGTATACGTTTTAATTGTAGCTGAAGAGTAGAGATCAGTGATTTCACGATATGGATTCACAGCAATGAGTATATTGGCCACATAAGTCTAGGAGAAGATTGAAAGTGAAGATATTTTAAGTGCATTTGGTAATACAGAAATACTGGAAAACCACATAAAATTTGACTGAAAATTTCCATAATTTTGAATGAGAATGAGCAAATACTTCTACTAAAAGTTTGAGTACAGTTTATTTCAGCCAAATAATGACGAACGATGTATGGAACGCATTTACCTTGATTGAGTCTATGTATGTACATTAGAGTGGTCCAAAATAATAAAGTCGGAATTTTAATGCCGCCACCCCCTAGGATTGTTCTGAACCGAAAATAAATATACCCCTATTTTTTATTTTGAAATCAAAAAATATTTAGGGAGTGCTCACAACGCTCAAAGTTTTCCATGTATTTATTTTATATGGGGAAAAGACAAATTTTCGTAAAAATGGTATAAAACTCTTGAAAATCAATATTTTTCAATCGAAAATCTGTGGTTCACTTCAGGAGACTTCAGACATTAATATCCAATTGTTTATTTCCTATAAAATATAGTTACCATGAAAAAATGGTTAGAGGAACAATTGGGTATTATTACTGGGAACCTCCTGAAGATAAGCAAAATTTTCCAATCGAAAAATATTGACTTGCAAGAATTCTACACTATTTCTACGAAAAGTTGTTTTATCCCCATTTAAAATACATTGAAAACTTTGAGCGCTTTGAGCACTCCCTAAATTTTTTTTTATTTCAAAATAAAAAAATATTGGTATATTTTTTGTCGGTATAGAACAATCTTAGGGGGTGGCGGCATTAAAAATGCGACCTTGTTTTTTTACATACATTTTTGGACCACTTTAATGTACAATAGACTGCATCACTCCCCATACAAAAAAAAAATCGGTACTATTTTTCCATTGGAATTATAAAATCTACTATACTTTAAGACGTCCACCAAAATATTTCGGAAAAATATTAAGACTTAAGTGAGCTGGACCGATTTGAAAATACCTCCAAAAATGTTTTTTTCATGAATAAAAATAGTTTCTTAAAGATTTCTTTTGAAAAAATCCTCTCAAATGACAAAACGGCTTAAGCTTAAAATATTTGCATAAAAATATTAAAAAAAAAAAAAATTAAAACAAAATTTAACGGAATCGTAATGATGATGCTGTTTTTAGCATTTTTCAAAGATTGGTATAAGAAAAACTTGAATAACTGAACCTAAACTCTTCCGAGACTTAAGAGGTGTCATTGGAAAGGTATTTTCTCACCCTTTTCATTTATTTACTAATAAACTTATTCAAAGGATGGAAGAGAAAGGTAGGAGAAACGAACCTCATTCAAAGTTAAATTAAGATCTTTGGTATTCGAAAAAAAAGATGGGACACGAATGACGCTTTTGGCCAGAAATAAAAACGGTGTGAAAATACCTTTCTACTGAGATCCCATAAGTCTAAATCAGAACATTTTTGGTCCAGTTATTCAAGTTTTTCGTAAATCAATCTTTGAAAAAAGTAAAAAAACAGCATCAAAAATCTCATTCTTACGATTCCATTGAAAAGATTTTTAAATATTTTTATGCAGATTTTTTAAGCTTATTCCAATTTGTCTTCTGAGGGGACTTTTTAAAAAATGTTCTTTAAGAAACTATTTTTATTCATAAAAAACTTCATTTTTGGAGCTATTTTCAAATCGATCCAGCTCACTTAGATCTTAATATTTTTACGAAATATTTTGGTGGACGTCTTAAAATATAATAAATTTAGTAATCCCGGCGGAAAAACCGCAACTTTTTTTGGTGATGCAGTCTAATGTACATAGATATGTAAATAATCCTGAAGTTTATTGCTGTAAATACGACAGACATGTCCACTGGATATTAAATGACACAATTTTTAAAAACAAAAATGGTCATTAAATAACATCGGTGTCGTTACGATATTACCAGGCCTATTCTGAAAGTTCTTAACATTTTGTAGTCGAAAATTTTCAAAATTTTAATAACAAAATTGAAACGGAAACTACAATTGCCGGTTACAAAGTAGAGATTTACATCGATTAATCGAGCCCTTCCGATTCAGTTTTTTAGTTTCGATTCGATCGGTGAATCGATAAAAAAAAATCGATAATCGAAATTCGATTTTTCCCCAATTGATGCATACTGGTTTACCTCAGAAAATCTATAAAATTTTATTTGGAGACAGGTACAAAAAAAATATGGGAACCCTCATTTCCCTCCTTTCTAACTTGAGAGAGCAAAGACCAAATAATTCAATGAACTCTATATAAAATTATGGCTAATACTATAACAAAAACTCCAAAAATCGTAATTTTCATAAAAATTTAGCACTTTTTAATTACTTCTTTTAGAAAAAAAATTTAAATACGTATGCAGTTTTGCAGAAAATCTTTTCTAAAAAGCGTAAATAAAAAGTTTGCGAAAACAAAAAAAAAAACAAAAAAGCGTCCGTATTGCAAAAAAAAATTTACATATATACGTAAGCTCCATTGTATTATACATTTTTTAAAATAGCTAATTTCGCAGCAAGCCTTACATTTTTTCTCATTTGTAATCAAAATAAAAATCAAAAAAATTTAAGCATTTCCTTAAGTAGGGTTAATGATGAATTTCCACTAAGCATTAAATGACAAAAATTTTAATGACATTGTTGGGCATTACGTTCATAAAAACAGACATTAGTGCGATTCATGAAACATCGTAAAGTTGCATTTTTGGCGAAATAACAACTATGAGAAAAAATTTTTTGTAATTTTTTTTTTTTAACCGACTTTAAAAAAAGGAGGAGGTTACAAATTCGTTGGAATGTATTTTGTTTATTTATTTTTTTATGTATATTACCGCATAACTTTTGACGACGTTACCCGTTTTCCATAATACTTTTTCCAGCGGATAGGTGGTACCTTAGAGGTGGTCCCATACTAATTTGGTTTAGATACGATCATTGGATCATGATCTTTCTTAAAAACGTTATATTAAATAAGCACTTTTTTATGTTTTATTGAGACGAAAACGAAACGCTAAGCAAAACAAACAATCGGTAGATACCAGATCTTTCACTATTTTTTTATTATTTAAAATTAATTTGAAAGTCGTGTGAATTTTTCTAGTGATATATTTCGGGACCCACGAGACCCACGGTAAAAGTCAGAAAAACGTCGGGATGGGCGGGTTAGGGACTTAAAAATTGAATTTCGGGATGGGAGGGATCGGGACTGAATATTTAGTCCCGTGTCCATCCCTAATACATACCTTTCTGTTTTTAAGGTTATCTGCCCTGAAAACCATACTTTTAGAGTATTCTGAATAGTAGAGAAATATTAAAGAATTCGTAAAGAAATCATTATTTCCCTTTCCGAATTTTCTAAGGTGAAATGTACTGTAATGTCATAAGAAAATCAGTAAGGCAATAAAAATAATACCGCGATGTCAAGTTATTTTTTCCGAATTTTCTTATCATTTGGACTTTTTTCTTTGAGTTACAAAGCTAGAAAGTGTTCGAGAAATGGACTTAAAATTTGTACCATCTATACTTGCATGAAGTTATCTTCAAGAAGTAGTTGCAATAGATTGTTTTTCAGTGCTTAGCATATATTACATCAGGCATCTAGAGTATTTCAAGAAACTAAGCTGTAAGTACTCATTCGACGAGAGGTAAAATAACTGCAAGTCCTGAGACGCACTCCAGGCCATTACTTCTCGCAGTCCTGCTTTTATGAGGCTGAGCCTTAAAAGCTTTCTGACATGATGTTTTGTCAAGGCTGCATATCAGTATCCTCTGGAGCTGCGGAGCCGTTACGACCGGAGTGAAGCTTTCAAATTGCTATACATACATGAAAATGATCATACAACAATCTTTTCCAGAAGCGGTTTCGAGCTGAAAGTAAAGATGTTTTTGATTTTGAATTTAATTTTTCAGCTTCGTGACGCTTCAACTAATCTTTTGAATAAAATTGAGTATTTGTCACTTTTATTTGACGATAAGTTTTGGGGTATCTTTGCAGCCGAGTCCATGAGAAAAGCCCTGCTTCGCCTCGTTCATTGAGAACAGCTGAAGGTTCGCTTCGCCCCGCCTTTCCTTGCAGAGCCACCGATCGGCTTTCTGTGTGAACGCACCCTCAATGGCTTCCATTACCGTTTATAAATACACACCTTCCCTTCTACTCTTTTCCTTCACTTCTAATTTCTAATGCAGTTATTTCTTTATGAAAACATAAAACATGGTTCGCCATACTTGGCGAAAGCTGTCCTTTTTTAAGTGAAAGTCTTCTAACTCAATCTATCTTACTTGCAAGAGCTTTAGTGTTGGAAGCTATAGCCATAAACATTCTCTCCTCCTTTTGAATTAAGTTTTAACTGTTTATCCTACTGGCGTGCATCTTGATTATTCCTAAAACTTGAATGTTCTAAAATTTTATATCGTCTCCGAATGAGATACACTTTTGGGGAGTATCCTTTTAAAACGAAAATGGGAAACTAGAATCACTGCCTATATCGCGCTTATGTTTTTTTATATAAATCAATAGAGCTGCTCATTCTTATTGGTAAATTTAGCATACTTGTACCTACATACATATATCTTGCTTTAGTACTTACATAAATTTTATCTTTATAATAACGCGTTTTTAAATTATCCAAAAACGTTGCTTCATTCAGCAGCATAAGTTCACCTGAAAAGTAAAAAAAATGCATATATGGATAAGGAAAAACATATTTATAGGATATTGTATGATATACAAAAGAGGTGGCACAAAAAATTTACCCGTTTGTAAGATGGAAAAATTTTGCGAACTTGGTCGAGTGTCAATACATTTATGATATTCTTAACCATCTGCGAGTGACGTGGTAATCTGACAGACACCGAAAGTTCGACATTTTTCCGAGCATTCAATACCACTGATTACTAAAAACGCCTATTTTTCGACATATAATTTATTTATATGACAATTTCATTAATGAGTACTTAAAATATTGATAGATCTTGCAGTTTAAATCGAAAAAAAGTATATTCATAAATATCTAATAAATATTTTTTGATCTGGAAAATTGGTGTCTAAGAGATTACACGTTAATATAATGGGGAAATTTCGGTCCTGACAGTAGCAGAGGGTTAAAGTAACCATATTCAGGGCTATCACGGAATCCGTCGAAGAAAATCTACGAATTCGAATGCCTGCTACGAATACGAAAAAATTGCAATCATTGAATCGGAGTAAACTTGAAAATATCGATTTGAATACTGATTCAAAATCAGCTAGTGCAAAGGAAACAATAAACATTTATGTATGCCATTTTGCTCACATTGTACAGCAGTCGCAATGGCCGAGTGGCCAAAGCACTAGACTGCTAATTGAGAGACCCGAGTTCGAGTACGAGTCGGCGGGCAACAACGGATCTTTTTTTATTTAATTTTTGTTTATTTTTTTTTTTAATAATTTTTTATTTTAGTTTAGTTTCATTCTTTTAAAGATAAACATTTTTTTTAAATTAATTTAAATATTTCCTCAAATTATTAAATTTTTATGATATTGTTACATTCCTAATAAATTGTTGTTAAACTCTTATTTGCTCGCATCATATAAAATATGCATTCATTAGCGTCTAGCAGATGAATGTATGTATGAACATTAGGGTGGTCCAGAAACAGTAGAGTCGGAATTGTAATGCTCTCACCCCCTAGGATTGTTCTATATCGAAAAAAATTAAACCCCTATTTTTTATTTTGAAAACAAAAAAAAATTAGAAGTCGCTCAAAGCGCTCAAAGTTTTCCATGTATTTTTATATGGGAAAAATATATTTTTTCGTAGAAATGGTATAGAATTCTTGAAAGTCAATATTTTTCGATCGGAAAACTCTGGTTCTCTTCAGGAAACTTTCAATAAAAGTACCCAATTGCTTATTTAGCCATTTTTAATACTAACGATTTTTTATTGGTCGCCCCATTGCATTTTTGCGGGTTTTTGTAGGTTTTTGGCAGATCTATAAATTATAGTTGCAATGAAAAAATGGTTAAATAAACAATTGGGTATTATTATTGGGAATCTCCAGCAGATAAACAGAGTTTTCTGGTAGAAAAATATTGATTTTTAACTATTCTATACTTACCATTTCTACGAAAAGTTGTTTTTCAAAATAAAAAAATAGGGGTATATTTTTTTCGGTGTAGAACAATCCTAGGGGTCAATCGAAATGAAAAATATTTAGGAAGGTTGCCACATATTTGGAAAAATGTTTGAATTACAGCAAATAGGTAATTTAAACACATAAATATGTATAACAATATGAGTGTCAAATGAAGGAGGTTTAAAAAGGTTTTACTTTGAAAATACTTTCAAGGGGGTTGCCACTTGTTTGATAAGTCGAAGTTAAGTAAATATCACACAGGTTATATAAAATATTTAAATGTGGCTGTCAAACAAGAGCGTGTTAAGAAATGTTTAGATTGGTGGCGTTTCAAGAACGTTGCCATGTTTTAAAAAAGATAAATTGAAATTATTTTATAAGTTATGAATTACTAAAAATGGGTATCAATCGAAATGGTTTGGAAAAGGTTTTATTTCAGACCTTGTTTAGGAGGATAGCCATGTGTCGAAAAATCAAATTCATCAGCTTATTAAAATATGTATCACAACGTCAGACGAAAAAGATTGAAAAAGAATTTAGTTTGAAAATACTTTCGAAAAGGATTTCCAACTGTTTGAGAAGTAGAATTTAGATGACTTATACACAAGTTTTATGAAATATGAGTGTACATCGAAAGAGACATATGAAAGCTTTAGTTTGAAAATATCTTCACATAGGCTTGCCACCTTTTCGAAAAGTCATATCGATCTAACTAAGTACATATGTATGTATAAGGGAAGGCGCTTTTGTGAAGGTCATTAGATTTGCTCCGTTCTTTGGAATTTCAAAAATTAAGGGGCAAAATAAAAACCTTGGTTTGTAGATGTGCGATAAAGCTTTATTTTTGGGAATTGGAACTTTTTTATCGGTACAGGTTGATTTGAAATTTGATGAAAAATTAAACCGACGATATACCAGACCTCTCTTCACTCAGAAATGGCTGCATAGCTTATAACTCTGATTAACATTTGGAATATTTTTTAGGATTTTGAAATTAAGTTTCGGACGTTTTAGCGCCTCGCTTGTTCACTAGTTTTTGTTTATTTGCCTACATATTTGCGTATAATTAGCAAATCGTCAAATGATAAAAAGCAGCTATGAAAACCAAAAAAGGCGTCAATTTTTACCCGATAAGCGTTTCCGTACTTTATAGCTTTTCTCTATTTCTCTGCGTATAATTTTGCCTTTTGACAGTTTTTCCAGTTTTAATTAATTTTACAGTCTAGCAATATTTTCGAGGCTTTCCCTAAATTTTAGTGAAATAAAAATAAACAAATAAACAAAAAAAAAACAAATTTTGTAGAATGCTAATTTGTTACTTTTAACATTATTTTGCACAACTTGTTTTACGACTTTTTAAGCACATATTTTGGTAAACCTCTATGGTAATAAATTTAAGCGACTCGTTCAAAACTTGTGGTCTCATTATCTCGCACAACTCCGGTCAAGATCGCTGGGTTTTGCGACATAGAGTGTGTATGTGTGCCTGTGGTAAATAAGTGCTGACTGTGTGGCTTGCTGTGGTCAGTGATGGTTAAACACACAATAATACAAGAGCCATACTGTTTACAGGTTTAACACCTCAAGAACTCTTTGTTATGAAGACTTGTTGAGCATTGTGGTAGATAAAAAGCTAGCGCACGCGCTGCTATTGTATAGTTAAGCAGTTGAATTCCGCAGAATGACAATAAAAATAGATGATATACAGGCAGGTTCTGCAATTGACTTCCGAGTGAATTTCAACAAAAGTCACTTTGAATTGCAGAACCTGTCTTATAGACGCGTATATGGTGCAGCAGATGCAAATTAATAGACATAAAATGTAAATATAAGGCATAAAAATGCTTCCAACAGCTGGCTGAAATGCTCGCACAAACACTTTAAAAAAACTTTCGAAATAATTAAACGCTCTTAACTTTAAATCTTTCCGCCTTTGACGCTGAGTAAGCACGTGATTGCGACGCCCTGATAAGACAGGTGTGTCTATTTCTGACGCCAGTAGCATACCTACACTTTTTTTTGATTATTTAAAAAAAAACCTGATAAAATACGTAAAACTACAAAATATCAAATTAAACATTTTCAACACTCACAATTATCATCATGATCTTGCGGTCCGTCGCACGACGAAAATATATCATCGACATGACAAGAGCGTTTCGGATATTTTCGATCAATTGGTGTAACCTCGAAATCCTTAGCACCGATTTCTGAGATGCGACACTGTATATAGCCTTCGACGGCATCGCGTGCCCACACCAGTTGTGTGTCCATTTTGCGCACTGAAAGTGAAAAAAAGGTAGCAAGTATTAAACGATTAGTAAGCATTCGAAGACAAAGACTACTTAAAGTAAACTAGAAAATTGCTTGGTAATACAACTTATAAAAATTTTTTTATATTTTTTTTTATCACAAAATTAGCAAGAAGCTTGTCGAAAGTAAGGCTCACGGCGCTATATGTATTTATGTGTGTATGTATGTACGACTATCAATAAACCACTAACACAATTCTTTTCTGGGTAAAAGTGTTCCGCAACGCTAGCAAAAGTCAACTAACTACGCGCTCCACAGCTGGAGCGTCGTCAACCCAACCTCAACAGCTTTGGCGGTGGGTTCAACGCCGGCACATACATTCACACCCTACTACTATGCTCCGATCCGCAGAGTTGCATACGAATCGAACGCTCCTCACTCGGTTTCGTTGACTCTTTTAGTACCTGCGCTAGAGCTGGCTGGTTGTTGGCCAGTACATATATTGACTGGTTGGTTGGTCGGTCGGCAGCTTGGCTATGTAGTAAGCTAAGCAAGTTCTGTTTTTTGTTTGTTAGTTTTTGCACAATCGCGTATTGCATGCTCTCGCGCTCTCCTAGCCGCTTCAGGTTTTAATTTTTTTTTGATTATAACCATTTTGCAACCTTTGTTTTGCCTTTCCGTTGTGAATATGTACCTACATTTTTTGCTATATTTCTTCACAAACTTGTTGGTCGGGCCGATAGGTCTGATTCATTCTTAGCTGCCTGATAAGATTAAGCATTGTTTGATGGGCTCGAGTGCATAGCACTTTTGGTTGATTTTGGCTGATAGGGAATTTTCTACCTACCAAAAATTTGAATGACACTAAATAATAGAAAACAACGAAGTAGGAATTTTGCATTTCTTTTGTTTTCTCCGAAAACTGTTGATCTCTGCTAAAATAAAAACTTATGTATTTACTTTATATTACAAAAAAAAAAAAAATGTTTAATACAATAAGAATGAAAATGGCCGATCTTCAGTGATCAAGCATACATACTTATAAGCTTGTTGACCACTCATTCAATTTAAGAATCCAAACCACATTTTGGGAATACATGTAAGTTTATCTTACATTACTGAAATTTTTTAGTACAAATTATATTTCTTTTTAATTAAAGTTCGCCGACCATAAATGATCACGCGTGAGCGTTGAACCACTTTTAAGCAATTTTAAGAGCAATTGCGAGTACAATAGTCTATGACGTCGTTAAAAAAAAAAAACAAGGGAGTTCAGCAAGAAAGCAAAATTGAATAATGAATATTCACGAATGCGAGTGGATAGCGTTAAAATAAAAGTAAAAAATAAATAAATATGAGACAACCTAGTATAATCACTTGAATATGTTGTATGAATGCATTATATGAATAGTGATGACCATACAATTAGGGACACGACTTCTTACTAGGTTAGACAATTTACCCGTTATTTATTTTTTTTTTACAAAAATACAGTTCGTACCTCAACGGAAACCTTATAATTCAAAGCTTCAAATTTTGTGCAAAATCGCGAAAATTCACAAAAATTTTCATCATAATTTCAAAAGCGGTAGTTGAAGTGGCAAAAAATTCGCGTTGATTATTTATCATTTAATTTGCTGATTCCGTACAAAAAACCAAAAAAAATTCGTATATATTGCACACCCAGATCTAAAGTGAGCTAACTCAAAATTCAGATCGGGAAATATAACTGCTTGTGGATCGTACAGATTAAACGCAATTAATGCAAAAGCAGGTATAACAGTCGTTTTTTGGTTGGTTTTCATAATCATGAAAAAAAATATTTGAATTAATTGGAGGTCTTAAGAATTGATTTATGAAAAAAATAGTCCTATTTTTTATTTTTTTGAGTTCATCGCACTTTAGATCTAGCGATATGTGCTTTGTTTGGAAAAAATGCGTAACACTATCAGCAAAAAAAATATCACAAGTCAATGCAAATTTTAATTCACTTCAAACTTACGCTTTATTTTCTTAAAACTGAATGGACTATACAAATTTTCTAAAAATTGTCTGAAAATTTTCATTAAAAAGTTTGGATGACAATTTGTCAAAACTTGCAAAGAAGTAGTGTCTCTAATTATCTGGCCATCACTGTATGTATGTATGAAGGTCAGTGAGCAGAACAATTTATAACCGTTTATGCGAATCATTTAAATGACGATAATAATTTCCAATGATGGTGACGATAAATTGCTGGTACTGTTGCTTTTGTTAATGATGATGCCCATGTTGATGGTTGGCTGTGGTCGTGGAATGGTGTTGCTCGTATGTAGATACATATGTATGTACGTAGTTTTGTTGTTGATGACGCTGTTAATAGTTTTACTGAACTAACCGACAAGGTGAAATTTATTTAAATTGTCAGTTAATAATCCTAAATGAGTTGTTAGTGATTTGCGACTGCTTTGACAAAAAGGGGTGCATGTTTAAAATTATTTTTGTCTTTATTAAAAAAGTTATTAATTTCTGAAAGACCGTTAGATACCAGTGTTGGCAAAATGTTAATCTGATTAACGATTAAAATGTTAATCGCGATTGAAGATTAAAATTAAATAATCGTAATCAACTGTACGATTAATGGTTAAATTTTTTAATCGTTAATCGCTGGCTGCGATTGAGATTAATTAATTTTGATCATTAATCGTTGATCCAATTAAAAAGAAAATCTGATTAAGTTGTCTAGTTTGTCCGAATTCGAAAGCAAACGTCATTTATAGTAATTATTTTGTGTTTTACGCTTATAAAAAGCACATAATATAAAAAAAATTATAATTATTGTTATTAGTAATACATAAACTGGGAACTTTTACAACCCAGCACACATAAGCAGAAGGATATTAAAACTTAGTTTGTAAAACGTCTGTTGGTATAGATCTTAATGAAAATGCACATAAAATGGCTTAGATTGATGAGGAAACCCGACTTGGCCATACCCGATTCACTGGCTTTGTGTGCAGAGGAAAAATCCAGCATAGATTAATTAATCACCAAACCTACTTAATCAAATTAAGGGTTAATGATTAAAAATTAAAATTAAACATGATTAACTGTAATCGGATTGAATTTAATCGAAATAGAATTATATACTTTGGAGAGAGGCTGATCAACTTCGTGATGGCACGGAATATGGTAGTTGGTAGTAGCAGACATCAGCATTGAAACCAGGGGTATCCCCTGACCTAAGAACAAAATTGATCGCGTTGTGTTAGACGGAATATACGTTTCGTGCGTTCTTGACGTGCTTTACATCCGAGAAGTGAACATCGATTTCGATTACAAGCTTGTTGCAGCTAAGGTCCGCATGCGTCTCTATGTAATGAAGAATGTGTGCCAGGCAGCAAAACGAAAATTCTACGTCGAGGCTATTAATTCTGCTTAAACAAGCAATTCTTTATCGCCGAATATAAGTACAATGCCGCCCTGCAGCCAATAGCTAAGCGAGTGGCAGTTGAGCGATACCGGAAGAAAAGAAGAGAGGAGACACGTCTATGTATTCAAAAGGAAGTAACGAGACCTAAAGAAGAACTTGATTTGCTGGCAAACAGAAATGAAGGCATACAATTTTACCAGAAAATAAGAGAGCAAGTTAAAGGGTTTCATGACCGGTGCTGGTTCGTGCAAAGACGAAGACGGAAATCTGGTAACATACGTCCAAAGTTCACTCGAGATATGTAGAGAACTTCTAACGTTATTGAATGGCGACACGGGTAAGGAAGATAAACGTTACTCCATTGTTCAAAGTTGGAGTCGAACATATGATAGGGTAGCAGAATTCGGTCTGATGAATACATGCCCGAAGATAGGAACTTACGTGTACTTTGCCAAATCAACAATAAGGGAAACTCCACTGTTTCATTTGCACGCTCATTTGGTTATGCGGATATTCTAAAATGTTTTTTAATTATTTGTAAAAATGTTCTCAAATTTACTAAATCTATTGAGTTGCAAAATAGAACACTTCACTATAACATACACGACAATTTTTATTCAATTATTTGCATTCAATATTTTTAATTGAGCTTGATGCCGTTTTTATGGTAAAAGTTATAGACTTCTTCATTGAGTTCACTGGGACTTGAACCAATTACTCCGGCGTTAAACGCCAGTGGTTTTATTGCTATTTAAACTGATCATGTGGTTGCTGTTTGTGTTAGTTTGTGTTAAGATTATATTTTTAGAAGAATATTAAACTTTAAGGTGTGCTCGTCGTTTTAAGTTTAAGTTATTTAAAGTACAAAACCGCGTATCAACAAAATGCAAAACCGCGTATGTGAGGTTGCATAAATTATAAAAATACTTATACTTCAAAAGGGTTCTTATTTTTATAAAGCAGTCGTATTTCTCGCTAGTACATTTCAAGACAAATGGACAAGGATTGAGCCAAGAGCTTGTGTAAGCAAATTCAATTTTTGGCAGCAAATGTCAGTTACGCGGTTTTGCAGAATGAAGATACGCGGTTTTGTACTTTAAACGACGATATGCAACATTTTTTTTTTTTTTGAGCTTGAGACCGTTTTATTATTTTTAGATTCGTAAATGCGGATATATGGTTAATATCAGTTAATTTTTTTATACGAATATACATATGTACGTATTTTTTAATCAGGCATTCAATTATCCGGATTTTCTGGATATTCATTAAATCTGAATACTTAGAACTAGTATCTATATACCGTAGTGTCTACAAGCAGGCAAAAATAGCTTTGGTCTCATTAAAAGTAGCATAAAGCTGCCATAAAATTCACTAAGTGAGTACTTGCAATTTGAGAATTTGTACTCAAAGAGGCGCAACAAATTAGCAACACTTTTTCAGACAATTTAACATAATCTTGATTATGCATTTTCATATTCTCTTTAAGATGCTATTAAAAAGTAGCATCACGCCATGGAGCTATGTACATGTGTATGTATGCAGTTGCCAAAAGCGAAGTTGCAACTTAAAGTAAGAAGAAGCAATCATGTTGCACTTAACCTATCAGCGTGGTAG